ACAAAAAACAAAAACTACAGCACGAGGAAAACTGCAGTACAGAAAAGAAAAAGGAAAATCCTACAAAAAGCCATGGGTGAGGGATGGGAGTACAGATTATATTTAAATAAAATGGTGGTGAAATTGACAAACCAGAAGCAAATGGAATGTTATGCTATCTGCAATTATACACACACATACATACACACACGCATATAGTCACATATGTAATCCTAAAAACTCATTGGGATTGCAAAGTAATCCTGAAAAGAATTCTTGACATAAGTAAAGGAGTAAAGAACACACAAAATAGTATATATGTAGACTTATTTAAAGAGACACAGACTGAATTAAATAAAATTTATGTTCTGAGATATAAAAAATTAGAATCCATGAAAAATAATATATACACAATATTTAAATTTTTAATAGAGAATGTAAATATAGAAAAATCTCCAAACAAGTCACTAAGAAAGACCTATATTCATAGATATATTGGCCTTATGGATTAGGAAACAAAATATTATAATGGTGTCATTTTTCCTGTAATTTATTTACAGTTTCATTTAGGTCTCAGTCAAAATCTGAAGAGTTTTTAAGTAGAAATTGATAAGCTGTGGCAAACTATTGAAATGTACAATGTCATGAATATCTCCCCAAATAGACCTATGGATATACGGACACTTAATTTATGACAGAGATAGGATGATATAGCAGCAGTGATCAGTTGGTCACTTTAATAAAAGGTGCTGGCAAAATCAGATCTCTATATGGAAACAATAAAACTGAATTGCTACCTCACACAATAAAATTTCAAGTGGATAAACATTTAAATAGGTAAGGCAAGTCTATGAAACATTTAGAATGTAGGAGGATATATGTTTGTTTTATAAATATTTATAAAATTATTCATAAGTGGACCGACCCCGTGGCTCACCCGGGAGAGTGCCGTGCTGGAGCGCTGAGGCTGCGGGTTCAGATCCTATATAGGGTCAGCCGGTGCGCTTACTGGCTGAGCGCAGTGCGGGCGACACCACGCTAAGGGTTAACGATCCCCTTACCGATCACAAAAAAAAAAAAAAAAAAAAAAAAAAAAAATTACAAGCTTTTATATATTTCTCTATATATGTAATACACTACAATAAAAGTTTTAATAATGTCTTTGCAAAATAATTTGACTTTGTTAAGAAAAATAGGTAAATATACATTAAAAAGACATAATAAAAATAGTATTTAGCCATACTTACTTTTTTGTCTTAATTTTGCTCACCAAATAAGTATTTTGTAGGTCTGCTTTTAGATATTTGAATATTTCTCTCCCTGGTGAAGATAGGAAATGGATAGACATTTAAGATTTGATAAGCCCCTTTACAAACAATAGTTACTGTTAATGCTTCCTTATGTAAGAAATACAATAACTAATTATCCTCGGACTAGGAACCACCAGATTCTTTAGAGTCACTTCATTTTTAACCTGAATTGTGATTTCTTATGATTGCAGATTACTATTAAAATCAAAGAATTCAAATCTCATAATAGCATAGAAACAAAAGAAAAATGTAGGCACATAATAATTTTAATATCAGATCAAAAATAAATAACTGCTGGAATGAGAACTTATCCCACATATGAGAAATGTCACCCGCTGTAATTTCTGTAGTGTGCTGTGTATGGCTGTCTGGCAGTGTGTGTTCATGACACGGAAAAGATCCATCCTCGTTTCTTCTGCTGATGCCAGTAAGTTTTACCTTCTGAGTCCCATGTGTCTTGTTTTTGTTTTTGTTTTCTCCCAGAATTCTGTAGAAAAGATAGCAGATGCAAAAAAGTTTCCTTCTAAATTGCTGCAAAAAAAGCAATCACTAGTATACTCTGTTGGCTACATAATCTTACTGCCAAATTGTGATGTGAAGACAAATCTATGAGTACAGAAAATCCAAGTTATGAAAATATCTTTTCTATAGATTGTATAGAATATTCTAATATGAAACCTATCGGAGAATATAAGTGGGCAAGTGGGATAAAAGTGACTTGCTTATTAAAAAAGTACCACTTGAACGTTAAAGTTCCCTGTGAATGTATTCTAACGTGCTTTCTACCCTCAGCCATAAAAACATAAAAGATACCTAAGGTTCTGACAAATTTTACACCTAAATAAAAGTCAGGTAATATATCATAATGGATCTTGTAACAGTAAATTGGAAAGGTTCTGATTACAACAAACTCTTGAAGAAAACCTTTTTTTCTGAATGTGACACATAAGAAGAGTGTACTTCACACAATTTGGTGCTAATAAGGAAGTAACTGAACTCCTTAAGACTAGGAGAATAAAAAGCAATAGTGACATTTTAGCACTTCCAAAGCAAATTGCTGGTGAAATAGACTTTGTGCATTGACTATGTTGGTATTCATTGCAGTTTCACCAGGTATTGGATAGAAAACTTTAATATGACTTGCCCTACTCTCAGCCACTCACAGTTGGTTTGAAAAGGAACTATTTGGATGATTCCAAAGTGCTTCTCTCTTATATGTTCAATGTTTCATGGTATAGCTAGCACCATGAAACAATAGACTATGATTTTCTCCAAACCTCATTATAACTGGCAATCTTTATGACATAGCACTGCAGGATACACCATTCCATCTTCTTTTCACAGGACCATATCACAGCTAGTGAGAAGCACTCCAAAATCATGATGAGGCACTAGGGCAGGTGGCTCTGTGCCGTATCAGCAGAAGTGCTGCTTGAGACTCTTTAATAATGAATTCTAATTGGGTGGATTATTTGTTCTGCATATTTGGTTTCCCTGAGATCACGATGGAGAACTGTTGAGCAATTTTAAAAAGTGGAATTGGCTACTGCTGCTACAGAGCCTTTTCCGTTTTTCTGACTCTAATCTTACATGCCAGTGAAGTACCCACAAAAAAAGCACTAATGCTTAATAGAGTCAGTTAAAAGTCTTGAATTTAGAATAATAACCCATGTTTTCTGTTTGATAAACCATTATTACTACATGGGGGGAAATCACGGTCAGCAATCATTTTAATCCCCCAAAATACTTAAATCAACTCTTCTCTTGGTGCCAAGATTATGATTATTTTCTCATAAGCTATGCACTCAAAGTTTGTATTTTCAACAGCATTTCCTTTATTTTGGAGTGCACATAGCCCTAGGATACTTTACACATTAGAAATGCTGTTTTTTTCTGGCAATATTCCATCTTCATTTTTTTAATCTCAAAATTAAGTGCACCATGGATTTTTTTAGGTACAAATCAGTTCATGTGACATAGAGTTATTTTTAATCAACAGATAATAAACTTCATATGAAACATATTAAGCCCTGCTGCTTCTACACTAAACTTCAATAGCATCTTTCATTCCTATATTAGAGATGGAAAAATTGTGGTACAGAGACATTATGTCATTTTTCCAAAGTTACAAACATATTAAGAGATGTGTCCAGGATTGAAATCTAGAGATTCTGACACCAGAATCCACGCATTTAACTATTATACGATGGTGTCTCACAATTGTGGCTGTTACTTTTGTATTTTTATTAATATTACTGTAATTAATAACTAAGTAGCCTATGATATAACTATTCATAAATGTTGGTTAGATAGAAGAATATTAGTAAGGTTATTTTCAAAGATATTTGCTGTTAGTATCTTATGTCAAAAGAAAAAATATTACCCCTTAATACAATGTTTATCAAGGATGTTCTTATTTGAATGGGTCACTTTTTATTTGAACATGTTAAAATAACAGAATAGATTTTTAATTAAAGTAGTTTGAGCTCGGATTAAAATCACATACACATTAACTTTTAAATAAATCAAATGAAATTGAAGGAAGTGATAAAGTAACACAAAATAGTAAAGACAACATTTACATTGGAAATAAATCAAGATTAAAATAGTTATGCACAATAAAATTATTTCTCATCTTTTCTTCTTTGGCTCATAGTGTCACAATTAAATGTAATTGTTTTAGTAACTTTCTCATAATGAAATATTACTTTTCCCAAGAACCTAATTAGGTGGGGGGTGGGGGGAGTAAAATATATGCAAAAGATCTGAACATACACCTCACCAAAGATAATATGTGGATAACACACAAGTATATGAAAGATGCTTTTTATCATATGTCATTATAGAATTGCACATTAAAAGAGCAAAAGACACCACTACAAGTTTATTAGAATGGCTAAAATCTAAAATCCCAATAACACCAAATACTGGTGATGATGTAGAGCAAACAGAGACTCTTATTTTTGTTGGTGGGAATGCAAAAACATAGTCACTTTTGAAAACAGTTTGTCAGTTTCTTACAAAACTAAGCAATTTCTTGTCATACTATCCAGCAATTGTGCTCCTTTGTATTTATCCAAATAAGTACAAAAGTTATGTCTACAGAAAAACCTGCATATGAATTTTTACAGCAGCTTCATTTATAACTGTCAAGACATGAAAGCAAGCAAGATATCCTTCAATAGGTGAATCGGCAAACAAATTGTAGTACCTCTATGAAACTAAATATTATTCAGTGCCTCCCCAAAACTCTGTCAAGACACAAAAAGATATGAAGGGAACTGAATTGCATACAGCTGAATAAATTAATTCAATAACAAAAGGCTACATGCTATATATTCTGTGATATTGTGATTCATAAGAAGAAATATCTATACCTTTATCAATATCTTTGTCTCACGTTCCTGGCCTACAACTTTTAACACCATTGTAATTTCCTGAGAAAATAGGGGTGCTGAGACAATCTTTTATTCTAATATTTGGTCTTTGACCCTTGTGCCTAACACAAAGCTCCTAATCCATTGAGATTTACTGGCTAATAGAAGTGTCTTTTGTTCTAATGTGGTGATTTTTGGTGGGCTCCTGAATGGGGGCTTGTCACCAAAAAGAACAAGTCATGATTAGAAGCTTGGAATTTTAATCCCCAGTTCCCAACTTCTGGGAAGGGGATAGGAGCTGGTCACTGAGTTAATAATTGGTCATGCCTACGTGATGAAGCCTCCATACAAATCTTGGAACTACAGGGTTCAGAGAGCTTCAGGTATGTTAAACATTTGAAGGAGGGCTCACCCCTACAGGTCAGGAAAGATCCACACCCCTTTACCTATCCCTTGCCCTGTGGATCTATTTTATCTGACTGATCCTGAGTTGTATTGTTTTATAATAAACTGGTAAACACAAGTGAACTATTTCCCTGAGTCCTGTGAGCCATTCTAGAGAATGATAGAAACCAAAGATGGGGTTGTGGGAATCACCAATTTAAAGCTAACCAGTGAGAGGCATCTGAGGCCCAGACTTTCTTCTGGTATGTGAAGTGGGTAGTGTGTGTGTGGGGGTGTGGGGGTGGATTTTGTGGGACTGAGCCCTTAACCTTTGGGATCTGATGCTAACTTCAAGTAAGTAGTGCAAGAATCGCATTATAAGACCCCCAGATGGTGTTGAAGAATTGCGTGGTATGGGAAAAGTCCCAACACATTCTGCTGTCTAAATGAAGTATTATGTATCAATTTTAAGAATACAGAAGGAAAAAAACAACAAATTAAAAATTTGATATCTTAGATAAAATGGACAAATTCCTAGAAATACATAAGCTACAACAGCCTACTGAAGGAAAAATAGACCATCTGGATAGACCTATAACAAATGAAGAGATTGGATGAGTAATCAAAGCCTATCTACAATAAGAAGCCAAGAACCAGTGGCTTCACACTAAATTTTACTACACATTTAAATGAGTTCAAATTGTTTACAACTAAAAATGATGCTTCTTAAGTCATTTTATGAGGTTAGTATTATTCTGATACAAAAACCAAAGATCCCAAAGAAAGAAAATTATAAACCAATATCTCTTATGTATTTGAATGCAATCATCCTCAACAAAATACCATCAAACCAAATCCAGCAACATATAAAGAAAATTATACAACATGACAAAGTGGGATTTACTACAGAAGTGAAAGGGTGGTACAATGTGAAGAAATCAGTTAATATAGTACATCATATCAATAGAATAAAGAATAAAGAATACAAGAATCATATGACCATATCAATAGATTCAGAAAAAGCATTTGACAGCATCTAAAATTCTTTCATAATAAAAACACTCAACAGACTAGAAATAAAAATGAATATCCTCGATATGATAAAAAACATCTATAAACACACAGCTAACATTATTAATGGTGAAAGACTAGACACTTTCTTCTAAGGTCAGCAGAAAGACAAGGGTGTCTGCTCTCACCACCTCCATTTAACATTGTACTGGAGGTTCTAGCCAGGGCAATTAGACAAGAAAAATATAAATTCAGCTAGATTAGAAAAGAAGAATTAAAGCAATCTTTTTCTGCAGATGAAATGATCACATATATAGAAAATTTTAAGGAATCCACTAAAGTAATTAGAATTAATAAATTATCTCTTTTTATTTATTTATTTATTTATTTATTTATTTTTTTATTTTTTTAACTCTCACATTAATCTTTATTTTTTTTCATTAAATTTTTATTTTGTCAATATACAATGTATATGATTATTATGGCCCATCACCGACACCTCCCTCCCTCCTCCCTCTCTCCCCTTCCCCCCAAGAATGTCCTTTCTGTTTGCTTGTTGTAACAGCTTCAAAAAGGTATAGTTGTTATATCTTCTTCCCCCCCCCCGGTTTTTTTTTTGTGTGTATGTGGGTGAATTAATTTGTTCATTTTTAGCTCCCACCAATGAGTGAGAACATGTGGTATTTCTTTTTCTCTGCCTGACTCGTTTCACTCAATATTATTCTCTCAAGGTCCATCCATGTTGTTGCAAATGGCAGTATTTCATTCGTTTTTATAGCTGAGTAATATTCCATTATGTATATATACCACATTTTCCGTATCCACTCATCCAATGATGGACATTTGGGTTGATTCCAGCTCTTGGCTATTGTGAAGAGTGCTGCAATGAACATTGGGAAACAGGTATACCTTCAACTTGATGATTTCCATTCCTTTGAGTACATTCCCAGTAGTGGGATAGCTGGATCATATGGTAAATCTATCTTCAGCTGTTTGAGGAACCTCCAAACCATTTTCCATAGGGGTTGCACCATTATGCATTCCCACCAACAATGTAAGAGAGTTCCTTTTTCTCCGCAACCACGCCAGCATTTATCTTTCAGCATCTTTTGGATTTTTGCCATCCTAACTGGGGTGAGATGGTATCTCAGTGTGGTTTTGATTTGCATTTCCCGGATGCTGAGTGATGTTGAGCATTTTTTCATATGACTGTTGGCCATTTGCATATCTTAAATTATTTAAGAAAAGCTGCAGGATATATAATCAATACATGGAATCATTTGTATGTTTACATATTAAGAATGAACATTTGGAAATGAAATCAAGAAGACAATTCCAGTCAAAATATCATCAAAAAGCATCAAATACCTAGGTAGGAATAAATTTAACAAAGGTATTGTAAAACATCTACGCTGAAAATCATAAAATATCATAGAAAACAAGTAAAGATATAAAAAAAATTAAAATACATTTTGTGTTCATTGGTCAGAAGACTTAAAATTGTTAAGATGACTGCAGGATGGTCCTTGAGTAACCTTCACTGACACAGCTTCTCTCCCTTCTTCTTGCTGCTAGTTCTCAGAATAACTGTAGAGTGCACTAGGAATGCATCCTGACATAGGGAGAAACTTCCCAAAATAGCAGCCCTGGCTTTGTTTCTGTCCCCCTTGGGAATGTAACATCATGAGATAGGAAATAACTGCCTGGAACAGCCTGGGCTCTGTTTCTGTTCCCCCTAGAAACAGTATGTCCTTCAAAGATTTAGCCCAGCATGTCATCTTTTCCCCAGGTATGAACACTAGTTCAAGCTGCTTTTCAGAGTCCTTCAGCTATGGTGAAAGTGGGACACATACAAACAAGATTCTACCCACCCTGGGGCAGCTTCCCTGAGCTTTGGGGGGACTGGTTCATTACGAATCCTAGGTTTCTGTTTTCCCTTGCTGCCTGTCTGTAAGCAATAAGTCTACTTCATATAATCTGTCATTTGTGTGAGTGTTCTGTGTCACCAGGCTCAGACAAGTAGTAAAAGTGAAACCCAAAATATAGTGGGCTAAAGTCGTCAAACTGTTATTCCTGATGACTGGCATTGTGATGATTTTTTCTAACTTCTATGGAATGGGAGTTCTCCCTTGGGATTGGTAATCAGTAAACCTACTTTACAACAGCAATGCTCCCCAAACTGGTGCACAGATTCCATGCAATTTCTATCAAAATTCCTGCTAACTTCCTTTTAGAAACTGACAAGCTGACTCTAAAATTCATGTGGAATTGGGATTCAGAGACCTAAAGCAATCTTGAAAAAGAAGAATAAAGTTGGAGGATTTCCATGTCCAAATTTCAAAATTTACTCTGAGTGATGATAATCAAGACATTGGTTCCCCACACAAAGACTAACCATAGATCAGTGGAATAGAATTGAAAATGAAAAAATAAATTCTTATATATATAGTCAACTGATTTTCTGCAGGGGTACCAAGACCATTTGAAGAGGACCTAAATGTGAGAACCAAAATGATAAAATTCTTGAAAGAAAATAAGGGGTAAATCTTGATACCATGGATTTGGCAAACAATTCTTAAATATGACACTAAATGCACAAAGTACAATTTAAAAAAAAAAAGATAAATTGAACTTCAAAGTCAAAAATTTATGTGTATTAAAGGACTATCATTAAAGGGAGAAGACAACCCACAGAGTGGACGAAAAGATTTCTTTCAAGATAAGTCACTTGTATCTTAGAATATATAAAGAATGTTGAGAGCACCATAACAAAGAGACAAATAACCTAATTTTAAAAAATAGGCAAAGGACCTTAATAGACATTTCTTCAGAGAAGATATACAAATGGTCAATTAGCACATGAAAAGATGCTAAACATCTTTAGTTTTCAAGGAAATGTAAATCAAAATGACAATGAGTATATAGAAGTCAATAAATAATTGTGGAATTAATGAAAAATTAATGGTAAATGGTTATTATAGATAAAGGGACGGTATAGAAATCAAAAGAAAATACCCATAAAGTCAAAAATATGTGAGCAAACAAGTTGTAAAGATTGAAGGAAGGTACCACAGTAGAATTTTGAATTAGTGTCGTTTGAAATTCTGGTAAATATCAAAAAGTCATCCTTGCATCCTTGTAAGGAAAACCAATGTCTTGGCGTGGAGTACTGACAGACAGCAAGATTCCCATTGAGATGTAAAGAAAACAATGTTTTCAAAGGAGTTGATAATAAAAAATAGTTTTCCCAATGTAAAGTGGTACTCTGAAAAATTTAGGGAAAGATTAGGATAGAGACCAGTGAAGATTTAGATATAGAGAGAAAATTTACAAAAGATTATGAGGGTACAGTTAATCAATGTATTGACTGGTGCCAAAAGAACATTCTTGTAAGGCAACATGAATTTAACCTCTATTGTTTGTTGGAGAAAACTGGAGGAAAGAAGTCGTTCAAGATAAACAAGATTCAGCTATGTTTTGATGATCATGTCTAACTTATCCTTTAAACAAATTTTGCCTGAATAGCATATAATAGTTTCAAGAAGCATATAAAGTGTCATCACATGATTTAAATGGTCTCTTCAGCTTCCTTTAGTTAGGTTGACAGTTATCAAATCTTTAAAAGTCCACATTAAGGAAGAAGTACCAATAAAAAGAAATAAAGAATTGATGATGATATCTCAATGGTGTGATAAACTTGTTGAATTAGTCAGGATTCTCCAGAGAAACAAAACCAATATATATACAAAATAAATTAAAAATTTACAGTAGTAGGAATCTCTTTGTTAGGCTGTGGCATGGGCTAATATTTCCTGTAAACAACATAGGATATGGATAAGAGTGTGGCTAAATAAACTGAATGACTAGAGAGAAATATGGATTGATTGTTCAATGTTATAAACAGTCTCATCATTTTGATTGTATTAATTCATCAATTTTGCATCAAATTTTGATGTAGTCAGGCTGACCCCACGGCGCACTTGGGAGA